TGGTGAATCACTTTAAGCTCTCATCAGAACAGTGCCCGAAGACAGATAAAGAAGCTGAAGACATGGCAAAGGTTCCGTATTCTAATTATGTTGGCTGCTTGATGTATGCAATGGTATGTACTCGTCCTGATTTAGCTCATGTTGTTAGTCAAGTTTGTAAGTACATGTCTAAACCTGGTAAGCAACATTGGGAAGCAGTCAAGTGGATTCTTCGGTACTTAAAGGGTATTGTGGGACATGGAATTGTTTTTGGTAGTCAGCGGGATAATCCTTTGGTTGTAGGATATGTGGATTCAGACTATGCAGGTGACTTGGATAATAGAAGATCTACGACAGGGTATGTGTTTACTCTTGGTGGAGGGTGTTGGGATTTTTGGAAGCTCAAATCGACAACCGGAAAGGTTTGCAAAGAGGGGTCGGAACGATTTTGTGTTTAGGGAGTAAGGAGATTGAAAGATGGAAAATTGTACAGCGATTTAGAGTGGTTCGACTTTCTCAACCAAAGTCTACATCCACTAACTTAGCTCCCCACCAAGGATTTTCCAACAAATTCACTAATTTGTTCTTTCTTTTGAGGACAAAGAGATAACCTTACAACTCCCTAGTTTTTTCGGGCTAAACTGGAACCTTTCCCTAGCTTTTACACGGGATAAGCTAGAACCTTTCCCCTTTACAAAAGGATAAAAGATGTAAACAAGAAAACCTCTCTAAGGTAGGTGTTTACAAGATTGAGCTCACAAGAACAAAATATTTACAAGAGAAAGATGAAATAATAATGAAAAACTCTTCTCTTGTGTTTGATTGCTTGGATAGTTGTTCTCTTTATTCTTCAAGTGTCATTAGCTTGTATTTATAGCTTGGAATGTGTTTGATGTTGTATATAGCCGTTGGGGATGTTTTGGAGCCGTTTGGAGATGCTTTTTCTACTCAAAAAGGCTGCCATAACATGGTGCATCAGTGCACTATCATGGTGCATCGATACCCCTTCATTAAATTCAAATAAACTAGCCGTTACTAGCCGTTGCAGCCTTGATGCATGGATGCATGGCAGGACGCATCGATGCATGGCCTTGATGTATCGATGCACAGAAGGATGCATCGATGCACTAATTGCATTCGGTGTTTGAGTGCATGGATGCACTGCATGATGCATCGATGCACTAGTTCAGGTACATGGATGCACTGCAGGGATGCATGGATGCATGGATGCACTTTGACACCCTTTAGCATTTTGACTCAAATCCGATTTTAATGGACTTTGAATTATTTTTGAAACCTTTTAAAACTTTGAATAAATTCAATTAAGTCCAAAAACATTTTGTAAATTCAATTCAAGTCCAAAAACCATTTTGCCTTAAATTGTTATATCAAAACATAGTTCAACAGAGGGCCTATTTGTTGGAAGTCTACTGTTCAATCTGTTGTGGCACTATCTACAACTGAAGCTGAATACATGGCAGTGGCTGAAGCTGCAAAAGAAGCTTTATGGCTTACTGGTTTAGTGAAGGAGTTGGGTGTACAACAAGGTGGAGTTCACTTGTTTTGTGATAATCAAAGTTCTATTCACTTGGCTAAGAATCAGGTGTATCGTGCTAGAACTAAACATATTGATGTAAGGTTCCACAAGATCAGAGAGTTTGTTGCATCTGGAGAGGTTTTGTTTCAGAAGGTACATATTGATGAGAATGCCGTTGATATGTTCACCAAGCCAGTTACGACAGACAAGTTCAAGCATTGCTTGGACTTGTTGAATGTTTCGAGTTATTAAAGAAGTAAGGTAACCCAACCCACATTGAAGTTTCCAAGGGGCAGGATATTCGCCAAGGTGGAGATTTGATAGGTATGGCTCATAAATATACCAGTAAAGAGGACAGGGGATGGAGCGGAGTAAGCGAATCGAACGCAGCGAACATCAATTGTCCTTACAAAGAAAATCTCGTAGAGGGGGTTATGATTATGTGAGTTGGGGTGCGGGGGTTGCGCCCCGCGGTACGGTACAAGGTTAATTATGTAATTATGTACCATGTTTTTTTATTATAAATAGAGATGTAACCTAAACCTATGAGACATTGAATAAAACTTCTAGCGCCGCCTAGGCACCGAAGACGTAAGCACATTGCCGAACCTCATTAAAATTCTTGTGTTATTTTGTCTTCTTTTTCCGATTCTCCAACATATCATAGGCCACGTCATCACTAGAATTCAAGAGACTTATGCTCTGCAAATCAAATTGGAGGAAGCTCTGAGCCGGTCAGTTTTTGTTTACCTTAATACCATATCTAGACGACGAGGCACATGCTTTAATTCAATGTACACACAGCTACATACGTATTATTGTTGTGTAATAAAATTTCACCAAATAGATGTAAGAATTGATCCAATATCATCAATGAACTTTTAAGTATTATACACGTATTATGTATGTAGTCCATAAATCTCATTATAACTCATGAAAATCTTTATTAGTTATTGAAAACGAACATATTTTATAGACGTATTTGTTTGAATTCGAATCCTCTAAAAAGAATAATATTTCTTTTTATCATTAAAACCATTAAATGGATTTTTATCTAGAGTGATTTTTGAGGCAATTAGTGCCCGTTTCTCATAAATAATTTAGATCCAAGCCCCAAATGTTGATTGAACGAGTGAAGGGAAACTAGAGGGACCATGATTCCAATCTGTAGGCATCACCGAATTAAAGGAGAATGAAATGAATCAATAATGGCAAGGAGAACCCACTGGTGGCAGCAACTCACTAGCTTGGCCGAAATGAACATCTCTCCTTTTGGTGAATAATTTTAAACCTTCAATAGGCACTAATATTACCACTATTACTTTTGTACATGTCATCACCCATTGGTTTTAATCTTCAACAAATCCACATAATTTTTTTATGGTAGTCCTACAATGTTAAGACAAAATACATAGTAAAAGATCAACTTACAAAAATCTTATTAACAAGACATTAAGTTTTCTTCTTCTTCAAGAGTTATACCTATACTTACGAATACAATCAACAATACATCATGAATTAAATACATGGTTTTCAGAACCGGACCGGTTAGCGAACCGGCCATGCTACCGGTTCACTGGTTCAACCGGTCGAACCGGTCCGACCGGGCGGAAGAACTGTACGACGTCATAATTATTTAAAAAATTAAATAAAAATACCAAAAATATTTAATAAAAAATAATTTTTTATATCACAAGTCATATTCAAAGCAAGTCATAACATATATAAGTTAAAAACCAAAAAATCAAGTGAAAAAAAAATGATTCAAATTAACTACAACATAATAATTAAGGTAAAACATATTAAATAATAACTATAATTAAAAAATAAATTTGGGGCTAAAAAAATCATAACAAAACAATATTGTTTGGTTTAATTTTTTAAAAAAAACAATTCCACATGGCTAAGAAACATAGAAGAGCATCCCAAAAGTCTAAAGAGTAAAAATATAAGAACAAAACAATCCCACATGGCTAAGAAACATAGAAGAGCATCCAAACTAACTTCTATAAATAATAGAGGTAATTTGGCATTCAAAATCATGGAGCCTATTGGTGAGCATTGAGTGAACTATTATTTCACATTAATCAAGCTCGAATTTTAGGCTTAAATCGAGCTTCTAAATTTTTTTTGAGTTCAAGCATTTTCGAGTTCAAGTTTCAATATTATATTTCGAGTTCGAGTTGAACTTGATAATTTTTAGCTCGTGAGTTTGAGTCGAGTTGAGTTTACTTTTAAAGTTTTCAAGTTCGAGTCGAGCTAAGCAATACTCGAGTTCGACTTGGCTCGTTTAATAAACGACGTTGTTTGGTTTATTTTTATTTAAAAACAGAAAAACAAAATTGGCGGTTTTTCTGGTTTTTTCTGGTTTTTAGCCGGTCCGGTTTGAACGATTTAACGGTTCCGGCCGGTTCACTAATAGCGGTTCAACTGGTGTAGATTGAACCAGACTAGACAACGGTTCTCGATTGAACCGGTTGAACCGGCCGGTCCTGTCCAATTTTCAAAACAATGATTAAATATTACAATGCATATTTCACTGGAAACTTATATATATGCTAATAAAATATAGAATAAATCTAGACATAATATACATGTAATTTATATTTTGTAAGAGATATAGAGATAATAAAATTAGAATATGAAACCTCAAAATTTTCGATATCTTTATAAAAACTTGATGCTTTATCGGTAAGATTAATGTCTCGTTTGATTACATAAGTATTAAAAAAATGAAAAGAGAGAGAGGAGATTGAGACATGGGAACTAAGGCAGCATGATGCCTGAAGTGCAAATTTCGTAAATACAAAGGAACATAGGAAAAACCTCCTTTTCCATGGTTTTGTTCAGGTGATTTGTCCGAATCCTAAAATGATCAGGTAGATTACCTGAAGCCTCTCCACTTCTCTTCTCGACACGTAGCACCGTCCCGTTTCGACTTTACCACTTATTATGCTTATGACTTCTGGTTCAGGTTTGCATCTTCTTCTTCATCCTCTGGTTTTTTATTTAAACTCATGCAACAACCATTGTTTAATTCGGTTATACACAGGATGTTCAAGAAAGAAACGAACTAGAGATTTATATTAATGGGAGGTTTAATATAACAATTTATGTCATTAAACCCGTTGTTCAATCACCAAGATTATACACTGTCAATCGAAAATTAATATAATTAATATTTTAATCTTATAATTCTAAATATAAATAATAAATCAAATAACATCGCATGACATATAATCATTTGATTTATTAATAATGTATAGACTATAAATATCAACTCTCATTTAATCTCTTTAAACTCTTGTATTTTTTATCATTAACTTTCCAGCGTTGGATCATCAATCCAACGACTGACATTAAGTAAACGTACAAAAGTTAGGAACCCTATGTACTGTTTTTTGGCTACGTATTTTAGAACTTGCATAAATATTTTTTTGTCTTTCCTTCTATTTCATAATAATAATAATAATAATAATAATAATTTAACACTGCTATTTTATTTATTATATCACCCGAGAATCTAATGAAGTTGTTAGCTAAGATTATCTAAAAAAGCTTAGTATAAAAAGAAAAAGGGTTCTAAAGGTCAGCAAGAAGAAGAAGAAAACACAAAAGCATAAGATTCTTTCTCTCTGGTTTTTGGTTCTTAATTTGCAAGCTATTCTTGGTTTGAGTTTTTTCTTTAGGGGGAAAAACAAATGGGGAGAGGTAGGGTTGAGTTGAAGAGAATAGAGAACAAGATAAACAGGCAAGTCACTTTTGCTAAGAGAAGAAATGGGCTTTTGAAGAAAGCTTACGAGCTTTCTGTTCTTTGCGATGTCGAGGTTGCTCTCATCATCTTCTCCAATAGAGGAAAGCTGTACGAGTTCTGCAGCAGTTCAAGGTATACCACACAAAAATACAACTTAACCGTCCCCCCCCCCTTCTTTCAAAACCAAAAAACAATGATAAAAGTAGAAGGAATTGTTGCTCTTTCCACTTTCTCTTTCTTTCTTTCTATTTGCTTGCTTTGAAATTCTGAACTTTAGATCTTGAGAGCTTGAAGTGGTGGAGAGTGGAGTTTTCTTTTTGCTGAGGGTTCGGATGTTTTTGAGAAAGATAATTAAAGTTGTGTGTTTCAGTTTTGCTGTTTTGGTGAATGTCTCGGCGTTTGTAGCACTGCAGTGCTTAAGTGTTTTTTTTCCTGTTACTAATGATGTTAGATCTGCAACTGAGAAACCGTGAACAGAAGATCAGTGTTGTATCAAGACCATGTCTCAAATCGCGGTCGTGTTTTCGATTATTTTGGATTTACCGTGATTGCGGTTGTCGTGGTAACTCGGAAGGCGGCGAAACCGCTATATCGCAGTCGAAATCGCGATCGCATACCGTTTTTTTAAAACCCTGATCAAGACCCTAATCCCATTTCTTTGTTACTTTTCTTTTTGGTTTTCCCCGGAGCCCTTTATTTTCCTTCCTTTTCCCCAGTTTTCTTCCTTAATTATCATCCGATTTTCTTTCCTTTCTCTTTTCCAATAAAGTTTTGTTCTTAACTGATGAAGCTCCAGTTTGAAATTTTCTTTAGTGTTCATAACCGATATATTTTTATTCCTTTTTTGTTTATAATTCTTTTTTTTCCCTTGCTTTTCTCTCGTTTTTGTTGTTAGTTAATCATTATAAAACTCATTTTTTGTTAAATTTTTATTAAAAAAGTTTAAACCATCTTCTCTCGTTTTTAAGCTGCCTGTTGCTGAGTTTAGGGTTTAATTTTCAGCTCAAACCTATTTTTGTTCTTCGAGTACGTACAAGGTACAGTTCCTCTGACTGTAGGTTTGGTTTTAAGCAAATTGAATTGAAGTTTTCATTTGTAAGTAAAACACTTTTGAAAAACAAAAGAGACAAAACCCCAACAAAAGAAAAGAAAAATCCACCGGACTCAGAGTTATATCTTCTGATTTTTACATACAATTTTCAGATGTTACTAATCAATGAAGCAACGAAAACGAAACCGGACGTAAGTGTGTTCGACTCTACAGATTAACAAATCCCATTGTTTAAGTGTGTTGGAGAGGAATTTTAGGGTTTCTGATGTTTCTAAAGCTGTTTGCCTCCTTCGGGTTAGGGTTTCAGATTTCAGTTCTCAGGGTTATAACGTTTTCCCAACTATTAACCACTCCAGTTCCCTTCGGATCCAATGAGATAACTTGAATTTATTTTTATTTTTTTGATGATTTATTATTATCCGATAGTTCATATCATTACAAACTAATAGAACATCAAATAAAAACCTAATTTTAGTTCATTTAGGTTTAACTTGAGTGTGCTTAAGGATTGGTTGGTTATAAGGGATTTGCACTATGTAATTACCCTTAAGATTAAGGATGGATAAAATTGGGTGGTCGTATTTCTGAAAATTTTAAAATCTCTTAATTTAAGTATTTTATTTATAATTTTTTTATTAATAATCTAAATTTAAACCTTTAAAATTTTATAATTTTATACCCTCTAAACTTCTAATATTAATTTCTGAAAACCCAGGCCCAAAATATATAATCATGTATCCGACCACGTTTAAAATGAAATAGTATTTATTATCATATATTTTTTATTCTTTTAACAAAAAAAAATCTTAGCTAGGTATGTAGGTGAGGTATATTTTTGCGAAAGAGAGTTGGAAGTCTAACTTTGAGTTTTATTATGAATGACATTTTGCTCTATTCGATAGTCGTCTTCCGCAACAATTGGTATTCGAGCCAGATTTAAGTGTGTAATATCTGCTTATTATCTTTGTGGTTGTCACCAAAAAGTGAATCCTGCAACATAAGAAAGTAAGAAGGTATTACCCATTCTTTGAAGGTTCCAGAGAACTATTCATGATAGTGAAATAGTGGGAGCTATCTAGAAGCTATGGCAACGAAATTTGATATTGAAAAGTTCAATGTGAGAAATTTCTCATTGTGGAAATTGAATATGAAGACCATCCTGAGGAAAGACGGTTGTCTAGTAGCTATCAACGAAAGGCCGGTGGATTTCACAAATGACAACAAATGGATCGAAATGGACAAGAATGCTATGGCAAACTTTCATCTAGCATTAGCAGATAAAGTATTGTCAAGCATTGAGGAGAAGAAAACAGCTAATGAGATATGGGATCATCTTACCAAATTGTACGAGGCCACATCGTTGCACAATAAAATTTTCCTTAAGAGGAAATTGTATACTCTCCGGATGCTAGAATCTACTTCAGTGACGGAGCACTTAAACACGCTGAACACTTTATTTTCTCAGCTTACATCCCTAAGATGTACAATAGGAGAACAAGAACATGTTGAACTTCTACTTCAAAGTCTACCAGATTCATATGATCAACTCATCATCAACTTGACAAACAATAATGTCACCAGTCTAGTCTTCAATGGCGTTGCAGCTGTTGTTCTACAAGAAGAAAATCGGCGCAAGAACAAGGAAGACAGACAAGTAAATTTTACAAGCAGAAGCGTTTACAACGATGAGAGGGAGATCAACAGAGTGTGGCCAAGCAGCAGTCACAAACATGGTAGATTGAAGTCGAGGAGCAAGAAGAATTTAAAGTGTTACAACTGTGGAAAGAATGGTCACTTGAAGAAGGATTGTTGGAGTCTAAATAAAAACTCCAATCCACAAGGCAATACCGTAAACACTTCAGATGATGGAGATGCTCTATGTTGTGAAGCATCAATCACCGTGGAAGGTAGAAAGAGATATGCAGATATATGGCTCATTGATTCAAGAGCAACATATCACATGACATCAAGAAGAGAATGGTTCCAAGAAGAGAATGGCCCATCATTATGAACTTGTCTCAGGAGGATCTGTTTATAGTTGCAATGATCATGCCTTAGAGATCGTTGGCGTGGGAACCATCAAATTGAAGATGTATGATGGAACAATTAAAGTTGTTCGAGATGTGCGGCATGTGAAAGGCTTGAAGAAAAATTTATTATCCTACGGATTGTTGGATAATAATGCAAGCAAGATTGAAACACGGAAAGGAATCATGAAGGTGTTCCGTGGAGCGCTTGTGGTGCTGAAAGGGGAAAAGATAGCTGCAAACTTGTACATGCTGAAGGGAGAAACTTTGCTAGAAGCAGAAGCCTCTGTTGCCTCATGTAGTTTAGATTCTGCAATGCTATGGCATCAGAAACTTGGACACATGTCAGAACAAGGAATGAAAGTTTTGTGGAGAAAAAGCTACTTCCAGGCTTAACAAAGGTATCACTTACTTTGGATGAGCATTGCATAACAAGTAAGCAACACCTGTTGAAATTCAACACGTCAAATTCTAAAGGCAAAAGTGTTCTAGAATTGGTTCATTCTGACGTATGGCAAACACCAGTTACATCCCTAGGTGGAGTAAAATATTTTGTCTCATTTATTGATGACTACTCCAGGAGATGTTGGGTGTACCCTAATCCCGAGTTGATGCTTGATCTTGTTCGTCATTGTTGACTGAATATCACTTATGGTGCTATCTTTTAACATATATGTAGCATGATGAAGACACTGAAGAAGTACCAGAAGTGCAACTACGGTGCTCCGGAGACAAATGTGTCAGCTAGGGAGGCTCTGGTAATGACCAACAATCTCTGCCACTTAATTCTTACACAACACTGCTATTTGGTTTCTTTTTCTTCTTTAGGGTTTAGCCTTAGACCCTGCATCTCCGTTTTTACCTAAATAGCGGTCATATTTTCGTTTCATGCTGAATATTTGTAAGATACGAGATTGGACTCGTGTACTTGAATTAAAGTTTTTGATTAAGTTTTATGACATCTCAAAGTTACATACTGCGAAAACCTTGCAATCTTCATATTCTTGCATTTAAACGTATTTTCATGTTATTTTACAGGAGTTTAGCAGTCAGCAAGAATATTTGAACCTTAAAATCCGTTATGAAGCCCTACAAAAGTCCCAAAGGTGATTATTAGTATCTGATTTACTAAACTATTAATTAAGATTGAGTCCTATAAAAATCTATTATAGGAACAATCTTATTAGTCTAATATTTTTTCATTCATAACGTCAAAAATCACGTTCACATAACCGTTGTTTGAATGATTCTTTAATTCTTTGATCTTCTTTCCTTAGGAATTTGCTGGGAGAAGATCTGGCTCCTTTAAGCAGCAAAGAACTTGAGTCCCTTGAGAAACAACTTGATTCTTCTTTGAAGCAGATCAGATCAACGAGGGTAATCCATACTCTTTCTCTCTTCAAATTTTGCATATATGTTATTTGATCTCCACATATACAAAAAACTAGTATATAAATTGTGTTAAGATGTAGTTACACGATATAAATTTTTTTAGTTTTATATTCAATTAGAATTATTGCATTAAAAGAAATCAATAACTCAAATACAAAATTGAAAATAAAAAGATTTATTTTAATAAAAAATGACTAACATTAATGCACAAAATTTTAATCTCAGTCATTAATTTTGTTTAATTCAATAATTTAAATCAACATAAAATTAAATAATTTTATACCATAATAGTGAATCATACCCTATATTTATATATTTATTATTTGAATACTGACAATGGTCGTATACCATTTATTATCCATTTATGTGTATATCCTAAAAATTAATTTGATTGTATCATTCAAATAATGTCTTTGTTTGTGTTTTGATACGGAAATAACCCTGAAACTTCAAAAACATTATTACCTACGACCCATGTTACTTAGACGTGCGTTAGATATATGTATACATATGACATGAGTATGATTAAACTTTTTTAAAACTTGTGAAGTATTTAAAGTATATGTAGAGATTATATTTTTGGATATATATGCAAGTTTAGAATGTCTTTTGTGCATGCTTATTTGTCTCTCACGTGTTTCTAATGAAGATTGGATCATTTGTTGTTTCTTTATAGACCCAATATATGCTGGGGCAGCTAGCTGATCTCCGACGGAAGGTATGCAATTATAGTATCATCTAAACTAAGATTAATTAAGTTCCAAACTCAGATTCTCCTCGTTTCTCAGACTAATGCAATATCTCATCAATGTAGGAGCAACTACTTAATGAAGCCAATGAGAACCTGAAACAAAGGGTATGGCATTCTTCACAACTTAGTTATCTGTTTAAAAAAACTGATTCGGAATTGAGATATTGCTTCAAAACACCATATTCATTGAGGATTGATCCTCTTTACAGTTGATCGAAATCTACCAAATAGATTCACTCCAGTTGAATCCGAGTGCAGAGGATGTCGGCTACGGCCGACAATCTGCTCATCACCATCCTCATGATGACGGCTTCTTTCAACCATTGGAGTGTGGACCAACATTACAAATTGGGTGAGGCCTCTTGAATTTATTCTGAAATCTGTATTGGAACATTGCAGACATATAAACTACGTTATATCTTTTACCAACAGGTACCCGCCCGATTCGATATCAGTTGTCAATGCGGGTCCCAGTGTGAATAACTACATGGCGGGATGGCTACCTTGACAAATTACACTAGAATAAGAAAGCATGCATGCACGCAAGCAAACTGCGTTCACTCATAAGAGAATCAGCACAATTTGACCATCTGTTTGAATGCTACTTTGATGAAACAGAACAGCAATTGTAATGCCACGGATTTTAGTATCATTACTGTTATAACTTTGTGTCCTTTAATTAGGAGGATGAACTGTAAGTAAACTCCTTAGTTTGAAATAATTTGATTTTGATTGCTTGTAAGAGGATTCTTCTAACTTTGTGCATTTTTGTATTGCATCGACAAACACGTGGGTTAACTTTGAATCGAATTACACGTTTTGTATTGTTTTTAATTCTTTTAATATGATGAATTGATTTATATATGGATTAGATAAAATAATTAAGTATTAGAGCAAACTAAGCATCCTTAGTAGTTAAAGAGAGTTATTTTCCTAAAAGATCCCGAGTTTGAGCATAATGTTTATATGGATGTTAGAACGTTATTTGTCAAATGATTAAAAATCTTTCGAACAAATATTATCTTGTAATTATTCGGCACTACTAAAAAAATTAGTAATATATATACATTTTGATACCTGAAATCTAATTTTGAAGTGTGATTTTATACTTTGGCCACCGATTTCAGGGGGGAAACCAGTCAAAATGGAGTAATGGCAATGCTTTCGATATCAATTAACAAATCTAACTTTAAATCCGTAGATAAAAAGTACCAAAATGGAGTAATATAACATCCCCAAAATTTCAAGCCAAAGAAGCAATGCATAATCGGGTCAATCTCTAGAACGAAAACAAAATACCTGTGATTTATTGTTTGAAAATCTGTTCAGAAAGCCATAAGCTTTGATTAAGAAAAATGTCTTTAATCAAACATCAAATTCATACGACAGCGTCCTTCACCAACTCAACCAATCACAACAGAAGTCTCTGAAGAAATATGGAGTGGAAATGAAAACCATAATTGGAACATGATACCAACATAATCAAGACCCCCAAAATATTTCCATTTTTCATTTAAAATGTCTTAAAACCGAAGGTAGAGATAACTGGATTGATTTATAAATCCTTGAGAGATTGTGTTTTTCCATCTCTTGATTAACCTTAGCGAATTGTGTCTCTTCACGCGTAGTTTAACCTGAATATGTCATTCAAAACATAGAAGCTTCCTTGTGGCGTTGGCATCAAATGAAACATCTGGAAGCAGAAAGCAAAACCAAAATGTCTCGGTTAGTAAAGCTGATAACCAAAAGATGTCAAAATATCAGAACCAATTCAATGGTTCATTAGCTATGTTTAAATTATAAAAACAAGCCCTTTACTTGGAACTTGTATCCCAATAAACCCTTATCTTCAAATTATAACTAAAGAAGCACAAATCAGTCTCACATTTGAGTTTAGGCTAAAATCAACCAATAGGGGATTACTTGGGTTAAATAAAAGTATAGGGGCATCATTAAGAAAGGGCTTTTTTCATAATTCTATAAAAGATGATAAGAACTTGCTCTTATTACTCAAAATTAAACAGAACGGCTAACCATAAATATGTATCAAACTATATGAGTTTGCTCTACCAGCAAGCAAGGGATAACCCACAAGGAAGTCAACAATGCATCCGAGTTAGGGGAATCGTTACTGGTTTTTCTTTTATATGACGCACACGACATACAGATGCTTAATAACCTTTCAGAGTATGCAATGAGATCACCCACCATTAATTTATTAAGTGAAAAATGCTATTAGGCAAGCATAGAAGATTAAAACATACAGCCAAAGGCTTGCCTACGATGAAAGAAGACATCAGGTACCGAAGAAAGCTCTAGATTGCAGTTGATAGTAATCATACAATTATTAATAACTTCGCAACCTAAAGCATGAGAATAGTAAGAGTTAAAGCCCACAGAGTCTAATTAATCACGATAAATAATGACCAAGAAAATGTATATATATGCAGAGCCACAGATCATAACAAAATAAGATATAGCAAGTTCTTTTACAAGATGATGGATCCAACAATATACATATCTTTCAATATGCAATCATGTCATAGTTTAATGAAATCGAAAATGTTCATTACATCTATTATCGTACACTCGTTTCCCTTCTTAATTCAGTTATCAAAATAAAATAAAAAAGATGCAATCACCATTGATTCATGCAATACAGTTAATTGGATTCTTAAGATCCTGACAAATAAATAAAAAATCCTATTGATTCAATCCACACTTAGAGCAGATCGAAAACAAACCTAAAAGATAGACTGCTAACAAATCGGATCGCGAGATTCACACAATCGATATCAACGACGAAATCAACATTGACAAATAGATAAGACTCCGATCGATCACTGAAGTACGCGTATAAACCCTACAAAAATGCAGAAAGAGAGTTACCTGGCTGAACTTGAGAGCATGTTGTTCGCCGGACAGTTGTAGTGTGCCAGAGACGAATACGAGCACGCCACCGGCGCCGGATGGCTGACAATCGACGGTGGTGATATTGTGCTTGCACTGCTGGAAAGGAAGGCTGGTTAGCTTAGCGACAATGCTTTGAGAGCCTTGGATCTTTTGGCCTTCGAAAGTCAACATGGAACCTTCCTGGTAGAGATTTCCCAAACCGGCTCGGTTCGCATCGAATGTCGAGTAGTAGTGATCGACGAACGCCTTTGCTACAGCGTCTGGATCCATCGAAATCCTCTTTTCTTTATCAGAATTTCAGCCGTCGCTTCGAGAAGTGCTGTGACGCAGCAGTGAAAGGTAAACGAAGAGTTGCGAGGCGAGCGAAGGTTATTTATTTATAGGAGGATTGATCTAACGGCTGAATTTGAGTCATGAAAATCCAATGACAGGTGGCTGCCAGCGTGTTATTATTATTATTATTATTAGGATTAAATACACGAGTAATGTCTTATGTTTTTAATTTATTCGATTTTGATCTCTTACATTATAAATTTAATATATTTTGATCACTCATTCATTAACTCTATTAACGAAATGTGACTTGACATTTAAAAAAAAAAAAAAAATACGTGTTTTAACATCTTTCCATTCTTCGTCTTCTTCTTTTCTTTCATTAATCTTTAGTATAAACAACATATATTATTTATAAGTGTAATACCACTAAATCACTAAGATGAGAACCGTGGGAGTTTTTAAGCAACCTCGTTCGTCTTATTCTGTACAAAGCTTGATAGCCATGTTTGTCCAGCTCAGGGAAAAAAGGGATACAACCGAACATAAACCCACATCTAAATTAACCCTTTTTTTGGCAGAAGGCATGTATATCCAGTATCTTTTTTAATGCATTGAAATAATTTTTTTTATGATCTAATTGTCATAAATATGTATAGTTGTGTTCAAGGGTGCATCCTCAATAACTAAATGCATGAGGTCAAGGGATTGCTTGAGCTTTATGAAGCTTCATATCTAGATTTCGAAGGTGAAAACATATTGGATGAAGCTAAAACTTTCTCAAGGGAAGCACGTATATGGCTAGGAACATTTATCAACACTGGATGCAAACATAGACGAGGAAGTTTCCTATGCTTTGGAGCTTTCGACCCACTGGAGAGTACAGTGGTTTGACGTGATATGGCGTATTGTTGTGTACGAGAACAACAAAAACGTAGACAAATGTTCACTTGAATTGGCTAAACTTAACTTCAACAGTGCCCAAGCCTCGCTTCAGAAGGACCTTAGGGAAATTTCCAGGTGGTAACCTACGTTAAAACATTGCTGTTTTCAGTCTCATGACAAATGAATGCCAATGAAACTCATATATTAAACATTTCCATTCTTCAAACCAGGTTTCACCACCACTCCTCTGTGTAATTGCAGTAGGATAGAGAGGCGTAGAACCATTTGTCAGGCTCGCACTTGATGCTGAACCAGATAAGATGGAATTAATAACTCCAGATACTGTGCTATTGAGAAACGGTGGAGTATCTATTCCTCCTCATTTCCATTTTCATTTACAGCACTTGCAGCATGGTCATGCAGAACATGATGCTGCTGCCACGCATCTGAGAAACACTTTCGAGAGCAATGATAACTTTTAGCAACAGATATAATCAACATAGTTTCTTCTTGTTCATTTTCTTAATGTTTTAGGAGAAAGAGGTGTTATAAATGGCTGTCCCTTGTTCTTGTTCCCATATGTAATGGGGTAAGGGGATGTAAGATAGTAAGCGGCCCCCAACAATAGGTTGAGAGCAGCTTCCGTAGGAGACCTCCGAATTATGAAATGCCTTCCATGAGACTCGATCCCACGACCTCAAGATTAAGAACCTTGTGCTCTACCAATTGAGCTAGATAGTCACTTCAAAGAGGTGTTATAGTTTTTAATAATATATATGCAATATAAAAATTAAATAGCTTTAAAATCTCACGTGCAAAGGTAGGTCACTTAGGAGGTTTTTGTTTTATTTTTTAGACTTAAATATACAAAAGGGGCTTAATTTATGTTCATTTTTCCTGTTTAGTGTCTAACGTTTATTTCGTTCTAATTTGGTGTTTAACATTTCATTCCATTACTCAAAATGAGTCAAGCCGTGACACACTATTAGTTTTCTCCTTTAAGTGACATGTGTCACAATCTGATAATTTTAAAATATTAATATACAATTAGAAAATAAAATTATATATTTTTTTAAAAAAGAAAACACATAAATTTTGAAATAACCCCAAAACTTTGAAAACCTTCATTTCAACCCCTAAACTCACGTTGACCGCAACCCTTTACCGTCGACGAAGCTTCACTAGACCTCACCTCCCCTCGGCGATCGAAACCCCGATGAAATCAAACTGATCAACGATCGATCGACGGTGAATCGACGTTTTATACCCTGCGAACCCAAGGATGAAAATCGTAATCTCAAGCTATTTCGACAGCCAATCGACGACAACTACGACGACTTATAACTAGGATGATGACAATGACTACTACAACGATAATGGTCGTGGCCGGAAAGGGTGGCGGCGGGTTAGTGTTAGGATTTGGGGATTTTAGGGATTTTGAGGTAAATTTGTAATTTAAAAAAAATAAGGGTTTTTTTATAAATATAATAATATTTTTAATATTTTAAAAAATAAATTTAAAATTATGAGATTGTGACACGTGTCACTTAATGGAGAAAACTAACGGTCCGTCACGGCTTGACCCTTTTTTGAATAACGGAATGAAACGTTAGGCACCAAACTAGAACAAAATAAACGTTAGGTTCTAAACTAGAAAAATGGGAATAGGTTGGGCACGTTTTGTATATTTAAGCCTATTTTTTAATTGTCAAATTACTCTTTTTGTTATTGAATTAACAGACAGTTAATGATCAAGGGACTAAAATCGAATGAACAGATAACGTATGAGATAAAAAAATTAATCGATAATCAAATAAAACAAATTAAATATACAAGGGTTCACCCGTATAATTTACCCTTACTATTTTATAGACTCTTCGTTTATAAAACCTCTTTACCGCCCATCAGCTAGAGGATTGCTCTTTGCGTCAATCCAACGCAGCCAACAACCGATATCTTATCTTTTGGACTAATTTTATTATATAGGGTAAATAAATATTTTGATAATTGAATTTAATTTTAAAGTATAATTTATATTTACTTTTTTAATTAGATACTAAAATTTAATTTAAAATTTTAATTTGGTTTGAAGATTAATTAAATTATAGTGTAATAATTAGTAAAAACATACAATTCTCATTTCCGACCCTCATTAACTCTTCCGTCTTCATTTATGGCCGAGACTAAGAAGTGTGTATTCGGGGGGGGGGGGGGAATATCAATATATATATATATATAAATTAAATAAATAAATAAATATATCGTCGACAGCAGAGTTCGAACCAGCGCGGGTATAGCCCAACAGATTTCAAGTCTGTCTCCTTGACCACTCGGACATATCAACTTTGATGCATGTTATCCTTGAAATTTTTGTAGAATTCTTTTTTTTTTTTTAAATATGTAGTGTTAAATTTATCATATATTGTTTATCTATTTTGATTTTAAAATCCAACTCTTAAACCCTATATTCTTTAAACTGTAAACCATAAATCTTAAATAAAACCCTTAAATCCTGAAATGAAAAAGTCAACTTGTATACCAATATTTAAATGCATTTTGTTGTTTTCTTTGTATATTGTATTGTTTATTTATACATATATCATTTGAAAATAAAAGCAGTTAGCTAAACAAATTTAGATAAAAATCAGACAAAAATGGCTCAAACTGATGCATTGTTGTCACCGTACAAGGATTCCTAGTTTAACAAACTCTTTAATAAAAACCCTAATACAAAAGTGCCACATCTAGCATTTTTATTACAGCTATAATATACAAAAGAACAAACTCTTCTATTGCTGGGATAGCAAGCAAATCCTCAATTCTTTGAACTCGGAATTTTCCAGCAAAGGAAAAAATCGAAAGGTTTCAATATCTTCATTGTAAAATACAAGAGACTCGATCCCATATTCAAGAATGGTTTTATATACACTCCTCCGACGAAACAGATGTTTCCCTGCAAAAATATCAAGCATGGAGTCATGTCAACATGCTGATAAATTAAACGTGGTGTGAGAACAATTGCGTCATTTTCAGAGGCTTGGGAAGAAACTTAATCCTCATGAGACTAAAGGAACTTACTTGTGAAAGATTAGGAATTTATTAAGGTATCCCCGAAGTAATGTCAGAGTACAGGCAGTCCTATTGATGCCACTGGCATGTCATGAGCAGAAATCTTCCGAAAAGACTCTGGTCTGATGCCTACTGGAAAAATCGTGAAACTTCCCGGTATAATTGCTCCGCTTCGTATGGTTTTGATACATATCCATCCATTCCACACCTTACACATTCCTCATGCGTAGCCTGGATAACATCTGCAGTCATAGCCAAAATTGCTACATGCCAGTTTGAAACATTGTTATAAGCTTCCACTGATACTTCACCAAAGTGAATGTGATCATTGATATTCTGTTCGATTTCCCGAATTCTCCTAGTAGCTTCAAACCTGTACAAGTAGAATGAAAAGGCTATTGGCATTAAACATTGAAGGTCGGGTTATAATCAATTAAGAACTCTTCAATGCTCATTGCACCAACTAGAGAGGTTTTCATTTTCTCTCATAGTTGTGAAGTTATTTTATAAGGTTTCAAAACTTAATTTCCGAATCAGAATAGCAAAGGTAAGCTCTAAATGCGACAATGGATTACGTACCCGTCAATTTCTGGCATTTGGATATCCATGAAACAGGCATCAAACTGATGAGGTGGTGTGAGCAGTTCGATAGCTTCTATTCCTCTTGCAGCAGTAACCACATCGGCTCCATATTTTTTCAATGCACCAGCAGCTACTTTTAGATTCACATTATTGTCATCTACAATTAGAATTTTTCTCCCCATAAGAAGATTTTGAAGAGACGCTCGAGGTAACTCCCCATTACAGGGATTTCCTTTGTTCCCATCACCCATGGCTCGTTGTAGAGATGCCGCTAACATGGTAGCCCTCAAGGGCTTTGGGATAACGGTCAAGTTACAAACACTAGAAATAGTAGTATTTGCTCTAGAAGAGCTTATAGAATTAGACAAAAGAAATACCTTTGGAGGAGTACCACGATTTATCTTGTTCAAGTTATCGAAAAAGTGAGCTGAACCATTCAGACCCTTATCCCAAACTTCTTGTTCGATGAGAACCATGTTTATAGCATTAACCCCCTTGCTTATGATGAACAAACCTCGTTCCCATTTAGAAACTATTTCAACATGAATTCCTAGACGTTGTAAATGATATTTTGCCACCTTGGCCCGGGCAGGTCGATGATCCATAACTAATGCTCTCATCCCATGAAACTCGGTGGAAACAGAGTTAGACCGATTGTTGATTTTCTGGATCTTGTACTTCTTTGAACTAGAGGAGCTGCTGGTGAAAACAGCTGTAAATGTAAAGGTGGATCCAATCTTCGGAATGCTAACGAAACCAATTTCTCCTTTCATCAGGTTAACCAAACACTTGCTTATGCTTAGTCCAATGCCCGTGCCCCCATGTGTCCGGTAAATAGAAGGGTCAACTTGCATAAAAGGGGTGAAAACACCAGACTGTGCTTCTAAAGGGATTCCTTCTCCTGTATCTTCAACTGACACGATAAGATTAATGCTGTCGGAGAAAGGATGCATGGATCCTTCTTGGCTGAAAGTTCTAAATTCTTTCCAGCTCTGGCATCTTTCTGCAACAGGAAAACCACTCAAGGTGTTCTTTGATGAAGATTCTGTCTCGCCTTCTATTGAACCAATCATCTCTTCTACAAGATGAACTGTAACCAGGATGTGTCCTTTCTCCGTGAACTGCACCAAATAAGTAAATTATAATCTTATTGCTACTAAAGCATAATTCGGGTAAAGCTGAACTCAAGCAGAAGCCTCTGGACTCTAGTAACCAACTTCATATACATTAAAAGGAGAACCAACAACATACTTTAATGGAGTTCCCCATGAGATTAATGATGATTTGTCTGAATCTCCCTGGATCACCAATTAGCACTTCAGGCACTTGATCAGAAATGTAAACTGCCAACTGCAAAATAGAATATATTTTAGACTCGTGGCTGAAAACCGTATGAAGGGTCCAAGAGAGAAGAAAGAAAGGGCCAGGCAGATAGGGTGAGTCAGTGTGATACAGGTTTATCACCTCTACTCCTTTGTCTTGAACCTTCCCAGAAAAGAGTGACAACACATCATCCAAGACTGCTCGTAGATCACACTGCACTTCCTCAAGCTCTAGCTTACCAGATTCGATTTTAGCCTGATCCAAAACCTCATTTATAAGTGCAACCAGAGCCTTTCCACTAGCTTGAGCAGTTCTGACATAATCTAGCTGTGTAACGTCTAGATCCGTGTCCATAAGCATATGCAACATTCCTGAAAAACATTGTCCCTCTGTCATGGCTAAGAAAATGGTATCCTCTACAAATATTAATTATATTTTTTGAGCATGATTATACAATGCGTAGAGATAAACTTCGTATGAATAAATTAAAACTTCTAGACTCACCTAGAACACCATTCATTGGGGTCCTGATCTCATGGGAAACAGTTGCAAGGAACTGCAGAACGGTCACAATTAATTAGGAACAAATGTCCGTAACAGATCAGAATGCTTAAGAGTATGAATGAAATGTCATATACCTGAGATTTGGCAACACCAGCTGCCTCAGCCTGTTTTTTTAGTTTCATCATCTTATGGCAGTCATCTTCCACCATGGCAATTCGATTAACAGTCGCATTGAATATATGGCCAACAAGTAGCACAATCACAAGGATGCCAATTGAAGTGGTTATCGCTAACCATGGCCATGGCGGCTTTTGCTTAAACCTATAGGAACAACAAAATCCATCCACGAATTCAAGTGCTTTATTGATGTAAATAACAGTGAATGATATGTAAAGGCTGACATGAACTTGCAAAAGGCCAGGTAACAATACTGGTCAAAAACAGACAATAGAGATCCAAATCAAGGAGAAGGTGAAATCCAAATCTAAAGGTAATCTACGATCTATGCACTACCTGCAGCGCATCTCATGCTTTCTGAAAGGATCTCCGAAATTAAGGTGGCTGACATGCTCCAGCCCGTCATCTGAAGCGTTTGAGCCATACATACTGATAGGGTAAGACTGGTTAGTTGTATCCAATACATTCACGAGGATAGTTTGTTTACTCGCAAGCTGTTGTAGTAATTTCTTCACAAGTGACTCAATATCGAACACTCCACCGAGATATCTGATTTCCAGAGATGAGAAGGCTAAGAAATCCATTTTCCTACTCATTTTCATAAAACAAGGATATATTGATTGAACATTCCTATTTTTTTTGTTCTTACAGAAAACATACCCATCAGTTGCTTGAATCCTCTCATTAGGAGTTGCATTCGAGGGAAGACCCCTTTTGTAGACTGCAAATGTCAAAATAACTCCAAGACGATTTGTTTTGAGTAACCTAAAAGGAGCTGTTAGCACCCCTTTTCCCGATTTTCTCGCACGCAATACATTCTTGCTATCTTCCTGTTGGCAAACAAGAAGTCCAAGGTTCACAGCCGAAGATCATATTGCATGAACTCAAATTGTTTCTTCAACTAGGGCTAAAGCTCTTCAGAGATTGAAAATTCTTAATAGTCTTCCAAATTATTAAAGTAATAAAATTAACTTCACAGTCCAGTTAAGCTTAATACAAGTTATCCAAGGAACCATTTAGAATAAATAAGGCACCAACCTTTCCCGACAGCATGTCAATAGAAACCACATGTGATACAACATCCTGTGCAAAGATAACAGGAGCATATTCTTCCTGAATTGGTGACGGATCGAAGAGGTCGGGATTGTAGTCATCCTTATGAACTGGATCTTGTTCAAGAGTATCCATCCTCTTAATAGTCCAGCCCTGTTGCTTCTCAAATTGTTCCCTTTCCGAGTGAAACACCCTCACAGCATATGCCACACCACTTGTAAGGGGCCTCTCAAAAGCAGTTCGTTCAGCATACTTTGCAAAAGTCCTCTACATGTTCTTAAAGTGAGTTCCCTCGGTTAACTAAAAGAAAGATCATAATTCCTAACAACAAACAATCAGACCTGGTTTTACTATCAAGATCACAAGATTCTTATTTGATCTAAATTTCAGGAGCAACAAATTAGGTAGAAATTGTACAGACAGATCAGTCGAGATCAAGAATGAGTTCGGTTTGAGAAAAGAACAATAAGATTGAATACTTTGAATCAAGCACTACAAATGCATAATTATCTAACTTACCTGATCAATAGCAGAGAGATTTTTGCCATGGTGGAAAGTTGAGATCAAAATGGAGATAGCCTGGATATGGTTCATGCTTATATTAAACTGATCCTGCAACATCCTAGCTCTCTCATCACACATGCTAGCCAGTGTCTCCTTCCTCTTCTCAGTAGCTTGAGAGCTCATATAACAGAAGATGAGAACAGAAGCCAAAACCCAACCAATTACCCATGAAAACAAGAGTTTCCTCCACCAAGTCTTGCTGATTCTCTTGGAACCCACATACTGATAGTATTGGTGGTGGATCCTGAAGCTATAGTTTGAGAATTTGAACCACATCTTGCTGCCAGTATCACCGAGGATACTCGGCTTGGCGTCCTTAAATTCACCATTAATGAACCAGTTCATGGAAACCATAGATGCTACCCAGCAACATAACACCCAGAGCAGAAGCCCCACTTTCAAACCAAATACAAATACATGGAGCAAACTCATCCAAGGAACAGTGACTTGTTACCAGCTGAATAAGGGAAAAACAGTACCCCTTTAGACCAAAAGTGGGCCTTACTTCCTCGTTAATTCCAGCTATAGAGAGAGACCCACTGTCAAATCTAGAAAACCCAGAATTCAGGAAGATAAAAAGGAAAAAAAATCACAGCAACCCCAGAAAATAATCAAAGAAACCCCCTCAAGATTCTTGAGCTTGTAACTCCAAACATAACAATCTTTTCATTTTTTTAAGTAGAAAAGATGGGCCCAGATAAACAAAGATTCCAACTTTAGAAATCAAATCAATGAAACACTAGCTAAGCTTCCACCCTCACCTTAAACAAGTTCCTTAAAATCCTAAAAATCAATCAAAAAGAACAATTATCAAACAATGTCAGGTGTTTACTGTTACAAAATCTGTAGAGATCTATCAACAGGAATTTACAGCTACAATAATATGATTTACTGCCCTTACAATAACAAAACAAGAGTTGATTCATACACAATTCACCGAGAATCTACAGAGGAAAGATGAAACAGAATATGGTGGTGGGAAAATGAATTACTATTTCAATGCTTGCTTATATATCTTTATTTCATACTACACTGTAGCACTATTATTAATATATATATATATATTTTTCCTTCAAATATAAATTATATAACGAATGGGAAAAATTATTTTTTTTCTATTTTTTATTTGTTAAGTAGACGAATTCTACACGCTTTAACTCCTCTCTGCGTTTGGATTGGCTGCACTTTATGACAGCAAAAGCTTCCTTTGCAGCTATGCATGAAAACAAAATTTTCTATCAATTAGCATTTAAACTTTTCTTTTTCCCTTTTGTACCCATTTTAGATATTTTTACTTAAAAATATACATCTTTAAAATTTAATTTTCAATCTAATCTCTTCTTAATTAATTTTTAAAATGATATTTCTTATACCATGCGGAATAAATGCATATTATTTATTGATTGAGTGTGTTAAATAGACTAAAGATTTATATTACTCCTCTTAATTACGTTTTTAAAAATTACGAGTGGCACAAACATTATTAATCTACGCGATATACAGTGATATCATTACAAATGACTAAGATCAGATATCACAAACATCGACAATTATGACTAATACATGATCTTACTAATAAGAAATATTATGACTAAGATTAGTCATTATAAATGTTGAATTAATTAATTTAACGATTAAATTAAAAATTCATTTGATATATACATAATAAAACTCAAGCTTCAGTGTTCAAGGATCTAGGATCTCGATTTTTACCAATCTTACTAAAACTTTATTTATATGATCAGATTTAAATCAACACAAATCTAGAAAGAACGTGCACATAATTTACATAGGATAAGATTTGAAGGATAAAATCGTAAAATTTCCATAATGGGATGCTTAGAAACAAAAGGAAAGATGAAGGGGCAATGATGTAAAAAGTCGAGCGTGTGATTGTTGGAGGCGAAAACAGTGGTAAAAACAGTACATAAGGGGGAAAGCGATGGCGAAAAGCAGGAAGGCACTTTAATCAAGGCAATGTCACGTATGAGGTGTTTGATTAGACCATCACTCAATCACTAATTTCACCACCAACTTACCTCTTTTTGGCCAATAGCTACGTCCCACGTCATCGCACTTGTGTTATCTTTTCCTCCGGCCAATGATATATTCTACGTGTCACCTGAGCAATGTCAGCTCGTCTTATTACGTGGCACCCGTTGGGATTTCATTTATTAAAGCTATCTATCTGCCACGTGGAGATGAGAGGTTATCTTTGGTTATTTTTAATGATTAAATTACAAATATTATCACTTAATTTTAAATTACTTATATTTTAGTCAGTAAAGTTTAAAAAAATCAATTTAATCACTTAACTTTAGTCTCATTTTACAATTTTTCAATTTGTTTGGTATTCACCTTGAATCAAGCTTAAACTTAAAATTTTCAAAAAATCTATCATACTAAATCACGTTTTACATCTCAAATTTTAAGTATTTTTTTAATAAAAGAAGGATAATAAAATATCTAGGATAAACGGAGAATTTTATTAATAATGAGCATTGAATTCACAACTAGGGATGATAACAGGTCAGATTAAGTCAGGTTTTTGGTCAATTCGATCTGACCCGAAAAATATATGTATTCTCCACTCGAATTTGACATGACACAAAAAATATATACACTCCACTCATCCATACCCGAAAATACATTTTCTCTATCTGAACTTGATATAACATGAAAGTTTAGAGTATAAATCTGACTTGACCAACCTAGTATAGTATAAAATAAGGACTTTATTAAAAAAAAACCTATAAAGAGGGGCATTGTAGTATTTATTTTATTAAATTTATATGTAAAAGTTACACTATTACCCTCAAGTGGAGTCGAAGATTTTTCGCCCACCACTCGAATCTGATCCGACCCGATCTTACCCTATATAAAATTAAATCGAACTCGACCCAAACTTAAAATTAAAAAAAAAAGTAACCTTATCAGATTGGGTCGAGTCAGAATTCGTTCGTTTTGAGTTATATTGTCATCCCTACCTATAATCTAAGGTAAATAAGAAATTTCATCTGAAAATTTTAAACTACATTATTTACATATCGTTAACCTTTCGAATCAAACTTAAACTAAAAATTCTTACAACTTGAAAATGCGATTCACATCATAATTTATCGTATCATATTTTAATAAAAAAATAATAATACACATGTACTAACCTTTCAGAGTTAATCAGAATTCTTATCATTATTAAAATATATTAAAACATATTTTTTGTAATGAGGATCACTGTCCACTATTTATTGTTAACAATATATATATATATATATATATATATACTTATTTAGACATCTTAATTTTAATTTAATTTCTATTTATTATTGTTAATTACAATTTTTCTCCCATAATATTGTGATTCCCTCTCTAAATATGACCAAACTTAACATATTTAATTTAAATTCTTTAAAATTATTAAATAATGAAAAAGTTCAGACAAAAGGATATTATAGTATAAAAATTGATTAGATTAATCAGCTGGCACCATATATTCATTAAAGTGTGATATTTGTTTGCAGAACATCTGCAAGGTGGATCTATTCTACCATTAATTGTATATGATAGCGATGCCTCCACGAGACAGTTTAGTGGGAATTTGCCAACCTTATTTGATTTAAATAATTGGATTATTCGTATCAAATTATGTATTTTTTCATATAATTAATTTATATAAAATATAAGGATAAAGTATATAAATGATCAGGCATGTGTTGGTTTATTGAGTCCATCAACTATTAAAATTTATAAAATGATTCATTGGTTATAGATTGTAGTTTTGTTGAGTCCATAAGTACTAAAATTTATAAAATGATCGACCGACTATTTATATATTCAAAAATCGTCAATTTTCGTTAAAAAATTGATGTCGTTTGAGTTGAACGTTAACTTATTAAATGGGATCTGATAAAATCATATTTCAATTATGTCTACTTTTATTGCTATTGCTTTCAAGCACTGACTCGACGAAATATTTATCACAAACTCGATGACATAATGTAAACGGAGAGTTGATTCACAAAATACAACTCAAACGACATAATTGAAATATGATGAGTTTGAAATATATAAATAGTTGGATAATCGTTCTTATAACTTTTAATAATCAAAAACTCAACAAAACAACTCTATATAGTCGAAGAATCATTTGTATACTTTAGTCAAACTTTTAATATAGTTATAATTTTATTGTGTTATCGTTTTAACGTCGTTTATTTATTTATTTGTGCCCAGTATGAAGCGGGTTCATGGAAATTGGCTTCTTATGCAGTTGGAAAGCTAAAGGAACACAGCAAGTCTTTCGTGTAAAACTCATGAGAAGGAGATGAAATTTTGAAGGGACATAAAACATGCAGACTAGAGATGTTGGATCCGACACGTGGCAGTCGTTGAACAGTGATAAACGGTTGTACGGCTTTTCCCTGTACACATGTCACGGTGATAAAATAATTGCAGCGTGATATTATTTCGCAGAACATGTGGATCTGTTTTCTTAACAAGCGCCATTGCTGGTGCAGAGAAAACACTTTCAAGCCGCAAATGGCAGTTCCAAATTCAATCATTGTTAAAAGGAAAAGGAAAGTGAACGACAATACGCTAAGAAGAAGACTTCAAAATTTATATAAATCTGTTTATTTTAGAATTTATGTTTTAAAATTTAAAATCAACAATTTTCTTAAAAATAATTATATATAAATTCACGTATATTTGCATTTAAATATTGTTCAAACTAAAATCACTCGAAGAGAATATCATTTTCTATCAATGAGATCACTTTCAGAGTTCAAAGTTTATGATTCGAATAAATAGATTGTATAAATTTTAGTCATTTGGTTAATCAAATCCAATCAAAATATATCTTATTAATATTTAACAAAATAACTGATGTGTTAATTAGAAAATAATATATTTATCTACTTGATATTCATTCCTTTAATTTATTAGTTTGATAGTAATTTAATTTAATTTAATACACTTAATTTTTATTTTGTTTATTTTTATTATATTATATATTTTTGTCCTATCAATTTTTTTGAATTTTAAAACTATTTCATTTAAGGAAAATTCTAGAATACACGTCGTACACTGAAACACACTACTGATGTGATACACCGATGCACACTACTAACTAAATTGTCCTTATTACATAAATATGAAAAAATATAATGATTTATCTACAATATGATTAAATTATATTCTTTTTATTGAAAATTATAATAATTTCGAGAATTTTATTTGTTTATGATTATAACACTTCATTTATATAAATTTACATATTCATCCCAACAACAATCATCAGAATCAACAATTGATGATTCTATTCATTGCCGGAAGATCTTGTTCTTCAACATCAACTTTAAATTCTCGTTCAGCCAGTCCCCACCGATTTTTAATTGCTTTACGACCACCCTTCTTCCATCTTGTAAGCAACCTTTATAAACAACCCCAAATTAATCTTCACCCAAAAGATTACGGTCTAAAAAAATATTCGTAGCATCGGTTAATTGTTCATATGTAAACAATGACTTTATATTGCCTAAACTGTCGAGTTATGCCATCATTAGTGGTGAACGCACAAAATCACTTTCGAAACTAGTTCCAATGAGAGTAGCTATAGACTGTATTTTTGTATAGGATGAATCTATAAGCATGTAACGTCGATCAAAACATGAGCTCCAATTACATGTAAATCAAAATTTGTTAATAATTCTTTAAGTAACCGAATAAACTAATATGCATATGTGAAAAAAAAATACACGATATTGGGAAGAGCCTTGTGGGGATGGCATTACATAACCACATGTAAGTAAAACGATAATTTGATGATGAATAAGATTGTCGGCGGTTAGTTTGATGGTTGTTATTGGGATGAATATGCAAACTTACAAAAATTAAGTGTTCCAATCCCAAACAAATAAAAAAAATGCTAAAATAATTGTATTTTTTTAATAAAAATATAAATTAATTATATTCTTATTAAAATTTAAATTAAATAATAATAAAGGATTAATTGTGGATAGATCATTATATTTTTTAATATTTATTTAATAAGGACAATTTAGTTAATAGTGTTCACCGATATGTCACATTAGTAGTGTATTTCGGTATGCAACGTGTACTCTATGCTCATCCCTCATCTAAAATGTATTATTAGAAAAATTAAAAAATAATACTTATATTTATTTTTTACCCTTATTTAAGAAAAGTCTAGAATGCAAGTCGAGCACCAAAACACACCACTAATATAACATATCATCTCTAATTAAATTATCGAAATATTAAAAATTTTAAATATCTCCTCGTACTTAATCCTTTATAAAAGTTAAATATTATCTATAATATAAATATATTACTTTTATATCATAATCCGGCCGTACTCTTCCCTCTCATGTTTCCTCCATGAATGGTATTCAGTTCTTCAACACTTGCACAACTCTTCTCATAATCACAAACTTGCCCTTTTTCTTCTTCACTTGTTTCTTGGTTGGGGTTTGTTTAAATTCGACTTCTTTCCACATCATCACTGGCTTTACAGTTCCACTATGATCAAAACCACAATAACCAACTTTTTTTATGTCGCTCTGATGTGATTCATGCTTCGGAACGTCATCCTACGATTGAGAGACAAATGGATTTTCCGTTTCGTCACTCGCTCTAAAACTCAAAAACGGCGAACTTGTTTATCTCAGAAATGTCAGAATCTTTGCTCTCGATGATGTATCAATCTTCTCGGGTTCGTACTCTTACATCAGTAATGTAAAGTTGCATATCCTACCGAACCGATCTTGACTATTGCTTATCTGGAGAGACTTCCGGTGGGAACAACATTGACAACGTTGGTCAGAGATTAGAGTTTGATGATGACAACGGAAGGAGGGATTATAAGGAAGCAAATGAGGATTAATTATGTGAGTATCGAGCTTGTTGATGTGACGAAAAAATCGAAAACACCTGATTATATGATTATGCGAAAGAATGGGAGAAGAGGGGTCAAGGAAATATAAAAGCGGTTGAAAAGAATGATTTGAATGATAGGTTTGGTGCAGAGATTATGCGTCCACCATTTTTGATGAAATTAAAAGGTTCGTTTTTCAGATGTGATAAATATATATATATATATATATGAGAAAATAACAGTAGCCGAAAATGTCTTATAATATACTATTTTAATCAATTTTTTTTAGATTTGCGAGAATGATCAACAAATTCACAACGCGAACTTCAATTTCACAACACATGTTCCAAAATCACAACGCTAATTACTGATATAGGTAAACAGTACTATCGCAAAGCGATTTTCAAATTCGCAACGCTAATTACCAATATAGATAAATAATACTATCGCAACGCGATTTTCAAATTCGCAATGTTAATTATCGATATAGGTAAACAGTACTATCGCAACGCGATTTTCAAATTCGCAACGAGATTTTCAAATTCACAATGCTAATTACCGATATAGGTAAATAGTACTATCGCAATGCGATTTTTAAATTCACAATGCTAATTAACGATATAAGTAAACACAACTATCGTAACGCGAATTTCGCAAATCGAATTCGTCAATTTCGCAACTTAATTACCGACATAGGTAAACAGTACTATTGCAATGCGATTTTCAAATTCGCAACGCTAATTACCGATATAGGTAAACAGTACTATCGCAACGCGATTTTAGAAATTGTGTTGCGATTTATAAATTCGCATTGCGTATTTAGAAACTGTGTTACGAAATTGAAGTTCACATTACGAATTTATTGATATTTTCATAAATCTAAAAAAAATTAATTAAAATCATATATTATAAAATATTTTCAGTCACTAAAATTATTTTATCTAAATATATTAAGTTAGTAATGGTCTAATAAATAAAGAACAGAACTTGAAACTAATCCGCTGAGCTGCCTGCCGTGCTGTCTCCCAAGGCCGTCTGGCTCATGGCTGCAAATTGTTTGGTGTTGGAGAATGTGATGAAGGGAAAGGTGCATGAATTTACAGTTTTGATGATAAGAATGATGGTTAATCTAATTTACAGTTTTTAGATTATTTTTGAATTAAAATTAAAATATTATATCAGAACTATAAAATTACGTTTTCATAAAGGATTAGCTACAAAGAGGTCTATAAAATTTTGGATGTTTTATTTGAAAAGAACAATTTAATTAATAATATGTTTTGGTGTGTCATATTAGTAGTGTGTTTTTGTGTAATATTTATTGTAGTTTTTTTATTTTTTATATCTATCAAAATAAATTTATTAATCACTTTAAAAAGTTAATTTTATAATTTCTCATATAAAAATAATATAACTTAATATATGATAAATTTATGTTCTAAAATAATATACTTAAATAAAATAGAACAAAAACAAGAGAAAGTAATTTTTTTGAGTTAATTCGAATTTGTACTCGTATATGCTAAAACCACTTTGTACAGTCTTCTCGCGTCTACTTACCTAGGTTCGAGTCATTGTATTTCTGCCCATTGTTTGATGGTTTTTGAATGAAAACGAAAACAAAATGGAAAGATGGTTTAACACACATTCAAATAAAAGCAGACACGTCTACATGTACTGAGCTATCCAATTACATCACGCCACGTTTGCTTTATTCCGTCACCCAACCAATCAGAACAAAGTCAATGACCTTTATTTATCGCATATCGCGGATGAATTAGTTTGCCCAACTTAATATAAATGAGAAAATAATCTCAGTGACCAAAAATATCTTATAATATATGATTTTAATTAAATTTTTTTTAGATTTATCAAAATGACCAACTAAATCGTAATGCGATCGATAATTCGCAACGCGATCTCCGGTATCACAAATCAGTTTCCAGATTCGCAACGCGAACTTTGACTATCGCAACGCGAACTTGGACTATCGCAACGCGAACTTAGACTATCGCAATGCGATTTACATATTCGCATTGCGATAGTCTAAGTTCACGTTGCGATAGTCGAAGTTCGCGTTACGATTTTTCAAATTCGTTGCGATAATCGAAGTTCGCGTTACGATATATTCCAAATTCGTTGCGATAGTCGAAGTTCGCGTTACGATTTATTCCAAATTCGTTGCGATAGTCCAAGTTCGCGTTGCGATTTATTCCAAATTCGTAACGACCGGTGGTATTGTTTCTTAAGAATTTTTTCTAAAAAGATAGTATTCGCGCGGACGTGTCGAAGACACGTATTACCACGACCACGAGACGAGACGAGACGGACAGCGGCGGCGACGGCGCGCGAGAGTCCCCCTTGTTTTCTATCACTCAACAAGAAAGTGGGAAAACCAAGCCTTAAATATCATTCACAATAGTGTTTCCAATAATATGTGGGAATGAGCAGTACCAACACTTGTTTCTAATACAATGTGATTATTCAGGAAACAATTAACAATCATGCACCTTAAAACAACTCAATCAGCAACCAATTGCATTAGTATTATACGATTAAATATGTCATAATTAAAAGTCAATCTACAATCAATCGCGATTATTACAATTTTAAGCAAAATATTCAAAAAATAATATCACTATTTAAGGCTCAATTCCACATAGTATTGGGAACAAGTGTTGGTAATACTCAATTCCACATAGTATTGGAAACACTATTGGGAATGATATTTAAGGCTTGGATTTCCCACTTCCTTGTTGAGTGATAGAGAACAAGGGGGACTCTCGCGTGCCGCCGCCGCCGCCGTCCGTAGTCGTGGTCGTGGTCGTAGTAATACGTGTCTTCGACACGTCCGCGCGAATACTATCATTTTAGAGAAAATTCTTAAGAAACAAATGTAATACAACCAGTCGTTGCGATTTTGGACTATCGCAACGAATTTGGAATAAATCGCAACGCGAACTTCGACTATCACAGCGAACTTAGAATAAATCGCAACGCGAACTTCGACTATCGCAACGCGAACTTTGAATAAATTGCAACGCGAACTTCGACTATCGCAACGCGAATGCGATAGTCGAAGTTCGTGTTGCGAATCTGGAAACTGATTTGCGATACCAGAGATCGCGTTACGAAGTATCGATCGCAATGTGATTTAGTTGATCATTTTGACAAATAAAAAAAATTAATTAAAATAGTATATTATAAAATATTTTTGGTCACTTCGTCGCCGTAAAGGGAATAGAGGAGAATTTCGCCGGAAATTTCATTCACTTTCTCGATCTGCTACCCTATCTCTTCGTCATCATGGTAAATCGTTTCATTTCCTCTGTTCTTTACTGTATGCGATCTTCGATTTTCAATTTTCACGCCGATCTCTGTTTTTTATCTGCTTATATCTGAATCAGATCTGATCTATATTTTCTTTCCCGTCCTTTTACTCTTTCCGAGTATAATCGATTGTAGACCCTAGAGATTTATAGATCTTCTGTTTTAGGATATTCATATGCCTAATGATTTAATCATGTATGTTTTTTTTTTTGAATAATTTAGCTAGACAGACCTTGATTTAGCCTTTTCTGAATGGAAAATTAAATCCTATCGAATCCTGTACTATACGCTTATGAGCAAATTAGTTGATCTGCTATAAAAGTCAGCGATATAGTCTTTACGATTAGCGTAGGAGCAAATTAGTCGGATCTACTATAAAATCGAACGATTTGTTTGTAAATTTAATTTTGGAAGTAAATGGGTGAAACTGTAATCGGTTGACTTATGTGCTTTTGAAAAATTGATTTGTTCTTCAGCCAAATGTATAAGGGCTAGCTAGATTGTTTAACCGATGTTTAAATCCATCACCATGGTTATCGAAGGATGCTTGTTTTATATATAATAAAAAGTATAATTTTAATTGGAATCCTTTTATTCTGGTTTGTGAAGACAACATCAAGGCGCCTTGCAGACAGGAAAGTGGGGAAGTTCGAGAGGAACATAAAAAAGAGAGGAGCTGTGCCTGAAACAACAACAAAGAAGGGGAAAGATTATCCTGTTGGTCCTGTGTTGATTGGTTTCTTCATATTCGTGGTCATTGGATCATGTAAGTTTCTTGGCTTCTAATCTTTTCACCATCATATTTCCTTAGATATTCACCATTGACTTTTGGTATAGTGAATACGTTTCTTGATTTTTGCTTCTGATATGGTCAGCACGTTCGGTATTTGCTGAATATTTGGTTCTTATTGTATGTCTGTGCGTCATGTGTGTGGATAATGTGTCAATGAAAAATGCTAATTTTATATTCTAACTTGTTGGTCTTTTCCCTTTGTATCTTCTTGAATTTTCTTGGGTTGTAAACTATCTTCGATGTTGTGTTCGGAACCTTGGGTTTCAATTGTTTTAGTTGTGTGATAAAATGCATATCAATGCTGTAACCTTGCACGATATACTTATGAAAATCTTTTTTCCTTTTCATTATTTCAGCACTCTTCCAGATTATCAGGACAGCAACAAGCGGTGGCATGGCATAAGTCTAGCCTATAACCCATGGTAAAGAATTGCAGAGAAGACATGTTATGTTTCTTTTTCTTTAAGTTTTGTAGCGAACCGATGATGTATTGACCATATATGTTTAACTTGTGTTGTGACTTATCTGAATTTGAATAAAGCCTACCTTTCTTGTCTCTTTTGTTCTGTGTTCTTTATCCTACTTATTTCCTGTTTCATTTTTGAATAAACAGTGTGAAATAGGCCAAAGCATACCATAAAAGAACCTCTTATTCCCCCTGCATGATGTTAAAACAAATCCTATTCACCGTTAATGGTGTCTAAAGGGTTGTTTGTTTGCCTCTTAATAGAATCATTCAGCGAACGGCGCGTTTGTTTCGCACCTCTAAATGATTCAATGTTGACTGATTCAGCAAAACAGTTTTGCTGAATGATTCAGCACAGAAGTACATTCTGAATGATTCAATACATAAGTACATTCTGAATGATTCAGAGTCATTATCAAATAACATGTCACATTCAGAGCTAATTCATACAGAGTCTCTGAATCATTCAGCATTTGAATCATTCAACGTTTAATCATTCTGAAGTAAAAAACAACCTGCAAGTCGTCACAGCCATTCTAGTACCAGATGTCTCGGCTTTTGCCAGCCCTCTCAATGTCTCATATAAGGGGTTGTAACACACACAGACTGATGCGGGTGACCCGATCCGATCTGAGGTGTCACATTAGAACCACCAGAGCGACTCACAGTAAAAATCTCGGAAAAAATTAAAATTTATGTTAAAGCACGTAAAATCGTAAAATAATTTATATATTAAAAGTAAAATTTAACAATATCCAAAAATAAAATAGATTACAGACTCGGATATAAAAACAAAATACAACCTACATGTTCCCTTAATCACATACACCGTACTCTATAAGTAACGTCGGTGGAACTCCAATACTGATGTCGATAGTTGTACTGGATGAACTAACCTGAAATAGAGAGTAAAAAAGTGAGATTTGGGAAGCTCAGTAATATCGAACTACCAAGTGATGTTGAAGTACATGCAGATAATAGGTAAGCATAATTTTCCTTATTAAATTAGACATCTACAGATTTTTGTGATGAGCTTAGGTCCCACTGATATTTTAAGTAGCAAAAGATAGAAGCTTACAGTTTAGAGCAGACGTTCAGAGAACCAGGTTCAGGATATAAGAACTGGGTGTTTAGTGTGTTCCCACAAAACTAATATCTTTTAAAATAGTAGTAGTTTAAAATGTATTTTTAAAACGTATTTTTAAAATCATGGTAAAACCCTCCAATCGAGCACCAATATGCAGTTCCCCAGGATGCAATCTTACCCTAGTCGAAGCATAGGTACCCACCCGAGGAGAGTGCCCTCAGGTCCATAAAGACTTATCCAAAGCACATAACAGAGGTGCCACCCTAAGAGAGTTCCTTAGGGTCCATAAGGTCTTATCACTAGGCCCATTAGGCCTATGAGCCCTCCCAAGAGTCACCTTAGATTCGTAAGAAATTACTCGTTCGATCGGTCTGAACCTATATAAGGAATTACCAGTTTGACCTAGCTGAACTTGTCGTAAGGAATTATTAATTCGATCGGTCTGAACCTATATAAGGAAATACCAGTTTGATCGAGCTGAACCTATATAAGGAATTGCCAGTTTGATCGAGCTGAACCTACAGAGACTTCATACCAGATCCCATAGTATCCCGAAGAAAAACATTTTTCAGACAGTAACCAGTGATAGTAGGAAATCAGAGTTCAAATATATCAATTCAGTAGAAACGACATCCAAAGATCATGAATCAGATATGCAAATTTAAAACTTTAATAAGTCATAAAGCTCGATAAAACACATTTCAGAACAAATAATACAATTATATAACACATAGGGAAGACACTAGAGGATCCATTTATTTTCCCAAGGTACTAGTATTTATCAGGTAGGGAGCCATGAAATTTTTGTAAACTGATTAAATTCAAAAACGAGATCATTATAAAAGGGTTTGATAGCTGACGAATTCATCAGTTATTCGGGACGTGATTTATCAAGAACATATAGTATTCAAATATTTTTCGAAAGCACTAAGTAATCAGATAAGTATTAAGAATCTTTTGCATCAAAGTTACTTGTGATTTCAGGTATGACAAGAGTGATTCTATTATTCAGGAAATCAGGGGCATTTTGGACATTAGGTTCTTGGAGAATTCTTAGTAATTTGATCTAATAAGGGAGAAACGATGATCCATTGTATTTAAGATTCGCGTCGATTTATCAAGGTATCGAATTAACTCGAATTGAAAAAATCCCAACACAGTGATACATGTCAACCGATCAAATCGTTGCACTTCAAAGGTATTCACACTTTAATACTGACAACTCTTGTCGAACTGATCATCTTCATAATCATCGCTGAATGGATCTTAGAGAGACGAACAAGTATTCCAATGATATTTATATCATTTATGCATTGCAACGATATCAAGAAATGTTGATATTCTTGATTTGTGGTTTAAAACCCTTGTGGACGGTACAACATATAAGCTAATCAGCGTTTTCAGACTTATCCAAGTTATTCGCTTAATTCTAGGTCTTTGAGGGTACTTAGGTAATTTAGTAATCAAGTTTATCCCGATCATTTTAGAGTTTCCAGAGTAATTCAGTTGTTTCCACAATTCAGATACAGACAATACTTCCACTTAGTTCATCTTGGTCATAATATATAGTCACTTCACGCCTCAAGGGCATTTTGGTCATTTTACACTTAAAGGGTAATTTCATAATCAGGTAATTTCGGTATTAAAGTTTTTAACGATGATAAATAAAAATTAGAGATTCCGAGGTTATTCGCTTTTCGAGATAATCATTGAACTTGAAATCATTCTTATTAGTATTCTTGTATCTATGCAGGTAGTCTGAGCTTTATTCAACTTAATTTATTTTATTTCGAAATCGGATCGAGTTTAGAATTTTAACTACACACATGTAACCATAATCAACCATGCATTTAACAATACCAACATGTTCCATACAACATGCATAAGGTAGTAATGTATTACCTCGATTTACGAACCATACCGATCAAACATTTAAACTCCATTCAATCGCCCTCGAACTTTAATTTCCCGTCACATAATTTCTCAGATACATAGCAAACGAATTTACGTCAGAAATTGAACTTAATCGAAAAACCAAATTGAATTAGAAGATAAAACACTGAAAAATGACTTACTGAGTGCAAATTTGGTAAAACGAACTTCGGATTCGGACTCAGGACGTTGAAAAACTTAAAACAATACTTTTTGAAAAGTTTGACTTTTTTGGTCAATCAACGGTCATACCGGTTAAAGTCAACGGGTCGGGTTGACTCAATTTGGGTCAAATAGACTCGGTTCAGTTCGAGTCGGTCCAGGATAGAAGGTTTCCAGGGAGGTAGAAGAAGTTCACGCGCACATGAAGGCACTTGGCGACGACGACGACTCAAGGTGATCAGCTGATTACTCTACAACTTCACTTAACTAATTGCAATCAATATTTAACCAAGCATCAACAATCCATTGGAATTAAAAAGAAAAGGTCGAAACACTTACCAACGCCAGTGATTGATAGAACTGGCGAAGTTAACGCGACTCACAAGTCGGGTTTTGAGCAGGCCAGGGAACACGTTGGTGACGACGGTGAGACAATATGGTCGCCAGGTCAATCGAAATTGACGAAAAACTGACGTATGATGGGGGTTTCTCGACGAAACTTCGACGAGCTTTCCACGATGAACCGCGACGGCTTTTAACGATCGGACTTAAGGGTTTTGGTCGGACGGTCGCGACGTTTCGACTGGAGGTGACGGTGACACTCACCGCCGACTAGAGGAGGGGGAACTGAGAAAGGTGACGAACAATCTTGGTTTGGGGTTTTATATCTAATTTGGGGTTTAAAAAATTAAAACTCGATCTAACAATATCAAATATATTTTTAATTAATTTATTCTCAAACTGTAACCTAGGCTAAGGCATAGGCACCCATAACCCTGGGTCTCGGGTTCAATCCCCCTCAACCACCAAATCCTCGTTTTATTTTTTTCAACTGACCAGAAAAATAGCTTAATTTAATGTTAGATCCCTAAACTTCCCACAAGTTCCAAAGCTGAGTTACAACTTTTAAAAATTTACAATTTAGTCATCAACTTTTCCCTTGTTACGACTTTAATTCGATACTCTAAATTAATAAAATCTAGTCCCTAAATTGGGGTGTGATGGGTGCTCCCGAAGATTTGAAGGTGACATGGGACGTTGGTGTTGGGAGTGTGTGGTTTTGGAGATCGACAGTTTAGCTGCTGTGCAGCTGATTTGTAACAGAGAAGCAAAGCGGTCCAGCCCTGGGGCGGGCTGTACTGGAGCTAATGGGTAGACCTTGGGAAGTTAGAGTGGGGTCATGGGTTTAGGGAGGGTAACCAATTGGCTTATTGTTTGTGCTGTATGTGCCCCCCGAAGTTGCTGGACATTCGTTTTGGGACAGAATAGGGATCTCATATGAAGTTGGCTCTGTAATTTGCTACTGGTTATTCCTCTTGTATAAAAAAATCCATCTCTTCACATACTTTGTAATAATACATCAAAACACATTGATACTAATTATATATCCATTCATATGATGTCCACAATCTCGATCTAATATTTAAAAATTTTAATATGAAGATTAAACTCTTTTGTTAGAATTATGATTTGAATCTTGTTTGGTTTGGTTCTAAAATTTATTCTACAACCCGTTTAATAAAAAAAATTGGGAGAGAAACAGAGATTTGTGATGAGTGTCGAGTCTTTCACGTATAGTTCTATTTAACTATGATTAATGTGTTCGTACAATTACGTGTATCTTAAAACTGATATGACATGATTTTATTCAACTAGGAATTATAATTGTATTTATGTATCTTAAATTCATACAATTTTATTATTATTATTTTGTGATCATTTACTCCTCATTAATTCATTATCCCCAACAAACTTAAAATCTTAAAATCTTGAACAATATTTGAACGCTAGGTTATTTGACTCTTAAGGGGTGTTTGGTTCAGGTAATTTGAGATTACTAGGGGAATGAAATCTCATTCTCCCGTTTGGTTGGCCAACATTCCCAGCCCCTAGTAATCTTTTATTACCAAC